ATGAGTAATCAGAGGCTAGTATAAAATGTTCATTTTTAGCCGCTCGAAATAACGTTTTTATAAAAGTCTAATTAAAAAATTGGATATGATTTTAAATTACGTCTTGCAGCTGCTTGCAAACAGCTAGCTTATCTTGCAGAAAAGCGATGCAATATGTCAGAATGATGTTGGCACAGTGAACAACAGTGCCCTGAACTAGTCTGACAGGAAATTTCGTTCAAAACGACGATTGGTCAACTAATAAATTACCACTAAAGTTCATCATTAAAATCGGTAAATGTGGTGGCCTATAGAGAGTCTAAATTGTCTTGTGTTTGGTGACAACTGACGACCTCAATTTTGACCTTAGGGCAAAACTAGCATCGGAATCGTATTCTTCGATCAATTTGGGATTAAATGATACCTATTTTGTTCATATTGCGGACAGTCAGTTTGGGGGAATTTCTAGCGCTTTTTCAGGCTGCCGGCCTACAGTGCAATGTAGCGCAGGACACCAGCCTTGTCGCCGGGAAACAAGGCCGCGGCCGCCGGTATAACCTACAGCACCCCGGCGTGCCGGTCGGCCGCCGCCGTCCCCCGCCGCCGCCGCTCAGCCAAACATAGATTCGCCGGCTGCGGCGCGGCTAATCAAAACAGCGTGCTGACGTCACGGCAAGTCGTCGCCGCCGATGATTTCGGCGTCGATACCGTCGATAAAAGGTCAGAGCCGCCCGAGCCCCGGCTCTGACGGCGTCCAATAGCGCCGGTTCTGGAGCAGCGGAGGCGGTGAGGGATGGCCGGCACGCGACTGGAGGACACACAGACACAGACACACAGACACAGACACACAGACACAGACACACAGACACAGACACACAGACACAGACACACAGACACAGACACACAGACACAGACACACAGACACAGACACACAGACACAGACACACAGACACAGACATACAGACACAGACACACAGACACAGACACACAGACACAGACACAGACACACAGACACAGACACACAGACACAGACACACAGACACAGACACACAGGCACAGACACACAGACACAGACACACAGACACAGACACAGACACACAGACACAGACACACAGACACAGACACACAGACACAGACACACAGACACAGACACACAGACACAGACACACAGACACAGACACACAGACACAGACACACAGACACAGACACACAGACACAGACACACAGACACAGACACACAGACACAGACACACAGACACAGACACACAGACACAGACACACAGACACAGACACACAGACACAGAACAGACACACAGACACAGACACACAGACACAGACACACAGACACAGACACACAGACACAGACACACAGACACAGACACACAGACACAGACACACAGACACAGACACACAGACACAGACACACAGACACAGACACACAGACACAGACACACAGACACAGACACACAGACACAGACACACAGACACAGACACACAGACACAGACACAGACACACAGACTTAGACACACAGACACAGACACAGACACAGACACACAGACACACAGGCACACAGACACTGACCCAGACACACAGACACAGACACACAGACACAGACACACTGACACACAGACACACAGACACGGACACAAAGACACAGACACACAGACACAGACACACAGACACAGACACACAGACACATACACACAGACACAGACACACAGACACAGACACACAGACACAGACACACATACACAGACACACAGACACAGACACACAGACACAGACACACAGACACAGACACACAGACACAGACACACAGACACAGACACACAGACACAGACACACAGACACAGACACACAGACACAGACACACAGACACAGACACACAGACACAGACACACAGACACAGACACACAGACACAGACACACAGACACAGACACACAGACACAGACACAGACACACAGACATACAGACACAGACACACAAACACACAGACACTGACGCAGACACGGACACACAGACACAAAGACACGGATACAACAGTAATTGCACATTTTACGGGGGTAGGTATTAGGTAATAGGTATGTTCATTGATCAGCCCCATTGTAATGACACAGACTGAACTGATTACCTACATTGGCACCGAGAAAATAAACGCAATAGACAAAGAACTGAGTACTGACCATTCTCAATGATCAGCAGCGGCTAATAGTGCAAGCTTCATGATATTTATACGGCTCATTCCACGACTGCGTCTCACCTCATCTGGGATTTTCCATGGTGACCATGCACTGTGCGCTGGCCGCTGATGTAAGGCACCGATCCATGTTTTTCCGGCGTTGCCACGGCAACCATTGAGGATATCATACAATCTGAGCTGCATGCTGCTTATGACATTGATCGAAGATCTTTCTCCCCGAGTTAGGTGCACGGCAGTTGTATGAGGAACTTCTAATAACACATTGCTATATGAACTTTGAATTCGATTTACCTTAGTGAAACGAGAAAGACCATGAAGTCTCCTCATCACGCCGGCGTATAAAGCAGCCCCGACGAGTTTTTCTCCGCGGCGTCTTTGAATCAGAGTTTCCATGCGATATTGAAGTTAGGTATCCTATGTAGGGACTTACATTATATTCCATTCGGTAAATTCTTCTGTAATGGCTTATGGACACCCTTGTTGAAAGACGCGTATTGCTATCCCGATCGGTATTTAAACCACATTAACCCTATTCCTGGCGGGCTCCGCCGGGACAAGAAACTGGCGGGGGGGGCCGATTCGGCCCCCCCCCTGAGATCTCGAGAACGAAGCAAGATAGCGACAAGCGGTAAACGGCATCGGATACGCACGGTCAAGATCTACAATTTTTACTAAGGTCATTTTCAGGTCAGGTCAAAGATGACGTCACAGGGGTCGAAAAACTCAAAATGGCGGCGCTAGATATGGAGAGTTTTTCTCGAATAACTTTCGAATTAGTCAAGATAGGAACAAACTAAGGGCATCATCGTGATCCTCTCGTCAATCCGCATCGAATGATATATATGTTGACCTCGAAAGGTCAAGTTCAAAGGTTGACCTCAGGTCACGTGACCTCGAGGTCATCATGTATATCATTCGATGTGTCTTGACGAGCTGAACACAATGAGACCATCCACGCGTCTGTATCTTGTTCCTGTACGGAGTTATTGGCCAAAAACCTTTGGTGACCTTTGATGACGTCACATGACCTCACAGCTGCCCAACAGCAAAACAGACCTCAAGGTAGTGAAGGTTGATCGTATATGAAGTCATGTATGGTATATGGGGCCATTCCGACCCGTTTTAGTGGTAAAAACAGGGAGTTGATTTTTCCCCCATTGACTTATAATGGGGAGGTCGCGAAACTGACCTGACCTTAGGTCACCGATATCAAAATTCCGAGATATACAAATTGCACATACTGGTACCCTAACTAAAGCCTGAAGAGAAGAAATTGATCGGTCAAAAACTCTAGCTCTGGCGTGATTGCAAACTTTTCTGAGGTAGGGTCACCAAACCGCTTCTGGTGACCTGACCTGAGGTCAGATCAACTCAAAATTTTCAGACATGTTGCGTAGAAGCCTTTTAGGAAAAGTCAGAAAATTTGAGCCTCCTAGCTCAACGCGTTTGGGAGAAATAACCAAAAAACCTCAGGGGGGTTTCCTGAGGCCCCCCCCCCCCCCGCCAGGAATAGGGTTAAACCATATTCAAACCATAAACCATATAACTATAGCTTAAATAAATTATATTGTAAAACCTTCTTTAGAAAACATATTTCGGTTAGGTACGTAGTTATATATGTACTTCTAAGTATGAATCCAAACAAGTAGTTACTAGTAGATTTTTTGAAATGTTTGCTCATGATTTTCTATCAGAATCGGCCTATGATTTTAAATAACAAAGAAATGCCTATTCTGTGACAATATGGTTCGTTGATAGCCTTGTCCTAGATTTCGAATGAAAACTTCCACGGTCCCAAAAAACCAAAGTTATGAGTAAAGATAATAAGTATTCAGTAAAAATGCTTCTAGTTAGCCTCCTTCTCACTTGTTTGATTTATCGGCCAGCATACGAGAGGAAATTTGTGATCACACTTTTCCGTTCCGTGCTCAGAGTCAGGACAGTCCGATCCTTCTCCTCCTCGCCTCAAATCCCCTGATCTAGGCTGCACGGTCACCTTCATGCGACGCGAGTAGCTTCTCAGGAGCAGACTGACGTGCGGTGGGGTACGACAGTGACACGGGTGACCGTCAGGGGTCTGGGGGCTGGGTGTCCTGTCCATCAAGACGGGCTCAGCACCAGGGGCGCACCAGTGTCAGTGTGGCCATTCAGACCACCCAGACCTAATTCCTATCACCTTTCCGATTTTGAAAATGTCTCGTGAGACCGAAAGGGCCTAACCCCACAAAATATGGGGAAAAGGATCACCTAATGATCGGAAAGTGGATACCTTTCGAGTTTTACGTCCATGGTTTACATATTTAAATTATATATGCATAGTGACAGAATCTAAATCGCAGAAACGAAGAGGCTCATTCATCGTTTATCACGATGCGCAATGTGCATGGTTTTAAACTAGCAACACGTTGCTTAGGCGTTCAGACTAAGCGCATTACATAATTCATTCCCTCCGCATCCTTCAAAGTGAGCACTTGAGCAGCAATGGCCAGAGTCACTAATCGACGGCTCAGTACGGCCATGAAGGCAAACATTTATCAGGTTCCGAAAACGCGTTATCCAACAAATGGCCCTCGGTGAAAAGTTATTGGCTCCGAGTTCAAATCGAATTCCGTTTCGAATACTTTAGCACTAAATCTGCCCAATAAATAGCAAGTCGAGTCTCGGTGCAACTTTCTGAGATTGCAGACATACGCCTGGAAAGCCGAGCCAAAGGTCATCAGGTCCCTGGTCGGTCGGTGGGGTGCGTGCTGATTCGCCCGCCGTCTGGCCACTGCTGACCACCTGGTCAGAGGACACCCTCGCCGCTGTGTCGACCGGCGGCCGGCGGCGACCGACCGCGGCCCGCCGGTCGGTCACAGCGCCGCTGCGTGCCCGCGCTGACGTCCCCTGTGACGTCACAAATGACGTCACGCCGACGGCGGTGGCGGCGGCCGCGGCGGCTGCCAGTCGCTCGCTCGGACCCGTGGGGGAGGGAATGCGCGGGACGCTTCCGGACCGACCCAGACATGGTCATGAGCGTGAAGACCACCCAGCCCGTGCGCGTGGGCTTTTACGACATCGAGAGGACCATCGGCAAGGGCAACTTTGCCGTCGTCAAGCTGGCGCGCCATCGCATCACCAAAACAGAGGTACGGTCCGTGGTTGTCCTGGTCGGAGGGGAGCCCGCCGTTTCCTTTGTTCGCTATCAATGTGCACAGGCCCTGTCCGGCGTTTCCAGTGTGGTAGACTGCGAGGAGACCTCTCACTCTCGTTAAGGCATCCACTGCTGGTGGTAGGGACACTGCACCCGGCCTCGGCCGGCCGCCGGGCTCATGGGGGCTCATAATCGATGTCACTGTAACTCGGTTATAGCTCGGCCAAGGTCGGGTCGTCGCGGACCGTGCTCGAAACGTCGATGTCGATGCTTAATCGAGAAACTAAACAGCCGCTTGTCTACGCTGGGACCTTTGTTGCTCTCTTAGCAGCGTGTGAGGGAGGGGAATGAACGCACAACGCTCCCTCGGCGCTCTCAGAAGAGGGCAATCACGTGAGTTCACCGCCCCCCGCCACAGCCAGAGTTGCGGGCTGGAAAGGCTACCGCCGATCGCGCATACACTCTGTTTGGGGGAACTGGACCTGGAGCGCGGGGAAGTTTTTCATGCCAGCGTTACCCGTTTGACAGGGTCTCAGTCTGGCTTTAGGCCGGACTGGACACGGACAGCTAATTGCCTGTTATAAAGCGGCTGGAGTCGGAGCTGATATGGTATTGATTGGAAATTGGAATGGGTTTGGTATTGGAACTTGGGAAGCCATGCAGTCACGAAGCCTATCCGCGCAACTTCCTTTTCCTACAGCTAAAGTAGATCTTGCACTATTCTCGCACTATTATGGTTTATACCTCTAATGCGAATGGCAATGGCATATAAGCTTGGATGGATAAAATCCAGACCACTTTTTGTTCCTGCTGTATTTGGAGCTGTAGGCGTGAAGTGCTACCCAACAGTTAACCTTTCAACCTAAAGGGGAACAACCGGCTCTGAAATCCCAGCGACTGACGAAAACCGGCTGCGGCGGACGCTGGCATTTCCCGAGGCTATGTTTTTACTTTGGACAGCCCAGACACATCGGTGGCATAGACGGACCGGCCCCTCATGGTCAGGTTTATCGACACAATGTGGCCGTTCTTATAGCACTTCGTATAGCAAAAGGACACGCGATCTGTCGTCCATAACATGGGTCTCTATTTCTTGTGGCCAACGACCGTCACGATTTTGGCCTAGCATTCTACGATTCAGAGAAACCAAAGAAACTTCAAAGCCACGATAATGTTACGCACATGGCTTAGCAAAATGGCAGGTCGGTCATGTATACCTATTTTGTTATCGAGCCATCCAATCAAACTCACCGTCTTAGCTGAACTGCCTGCAGGAATGGGCCGATCAAACAGAGTCCCTATGGTTGCTATGGCGACAATTTTCCTTATTCTAAACCGCTGTTCTGTGCAACTCGGCACTGGTCATCACCAGTTTGGCTTTAAAGTAGATCACTCGACTGATTTGGCGATCTATGCCTTAAAAGAAATCACTGATTATTATTTGCGCAACAGTAGCCCGGTGTTCATTTGTTTTCTTGACGCGCGGAAAGCGTTTGATCGTGTAAACCACTTGACTCTGTTCGAAAAATTACTTGACAGGGGTATTGACCCCCACTTGGTGAGACTAATCTCTTCTTGGTATAGGTCTCAAGAGTTTCAGGTTCGTTGGGGTAAGTGCGTGTCCGAGAGCTTTCATGTGTCTAACGGTGTCAGGCAGGGGGGCATTCTGTCACCCTTCCTATTCAATGTGTACACGGACGATCTTTCTACGGCTCTCAATCGCAGTGGTTATGGATGCCACTTTCAGGGCAGCATGAATCATTTGTATTATGCAGACGATATGGTTGTGCTTTCTCCGTCTCCATTTGGCCTACAGAAGTTGCTGAATATATGCGAGAGTTATGCTACGAAACACGATATTCTATTTAATTCCAAGAAGTCTGTTTGCATGGCAATGCTACCTAAGAAATTTCGCGACATGGCTCTACCCACGGTTTTGCTCTGTGGCCAGACTCTTAGTTTTGTTAATGATTATAATAAGTATCTTGGGTATTCGATATCCTCTGACTTCGCCAGGGCTGATGATTCTGAAATTCGACAGCAGTACAGGTTGTTATGTTGTAGAGCCAATTCCCTTATTCGTAAATTTGCTTTGTGCACGCATGATGTGAAGAAATATTTGTACAGCATTTATTGTTCTAATGTTTGCAACATGCACCTGTGGCATTCCTATCACATGTCCGATTTGAGGAAGTTTAAGGTTTGTTTCAATAATGCGGCTAGGATGTTTTTTGGTTACGACCGGTATTGCAGTGCCTCCGGAATGTTTGCTCAACAATGTGTAGATGGATATGACGCGACTCGTCGCAAATCAGTGTGGAATTTCTTGTCACGAGTACGCTTATCAGCTAATCGCATCATTTCTACACTGTACCATAGTGATCTGGCATGTACGTCACCTATCAGGAGGATGTGGTCGAGAACGCTGTATGGCTGGTGATTGTTACTGTATGTATACCTGTTTTAACTTCCTGTGAAGTGAAGTTCCCCTTCATTCCCCATTTCTGGACCAGGAGTCTGTAAATAAAGTATCTCTCTCTCTCTCTCTCTCTCTCTCTCTCTCTCTCTCTCTCTCTCTCTCTCTCTCTCTCTCTCTCTCTCTCTCTCTCTCTCTCTCTCTCTCTCTCTCTCTCTCTCTCTCTCTCTCTCTCTCTCTCTCTCTCTCTCTCTCTCTCTCTCTCTCTCTCTCTCTCTCTCTCTCTCTCTCTCTCTCTCTCTCTCTCTCTCTCTCTCTCTCTCTCTCTCTCTCTTATCTACATACAAAGCCCACTGATCCGTTCTGTCGCCCGTTTTCCCGGTCAGAAGCGTGCTCTAGGTGCTCGGTGGCAGCTTCCGTCACTTGGCTTACGTGCTGTGTTGAGCTTAAAGGGAGATAATGAGCTTTTTTTTTTCTTTAATAAAAATTACTCGACATCTATACTATTTCTACTGTAGTTTCTATAAAATATGAAAATTTCCTAGCACATTTTCGTATGTGAAAAAGGTTTTTATTTTTGCAAAAAAGAAGCAGTACTTGCAGTACTTGTAACACCCACCGAAATGCGTTGTCCTTCTTGTCCTTCTCTATAAAAAGTCGCAGTATATGGCGCTTTTGTTTCAAACAGCGACGCTTGGGTTTTTGTTTATGTTATCGCCTTGTCGTTGCTTGGTTGTAAGGATTCTAATTTGAATTAGAGTTAATTCGGTTTAGAATTAATTAGATTCGTACATAGTGCCTACTCTTCTTTGTTTCCAAGTATTATTTTGCGCCACAAATGAACGGCATGCGCCAGAAACGCAGCCAAATCTTGCGATTGCGACTACGAAATTCATTATTTTGGCCTCAGAGCCTGAAGCGAAAAATACAAGCATATTTATTTCAAAAAGACTTCAGGTTTGTCGAACGGTGTTATGAGAATTTTGATAACAGTACTGCATAAGTTTTTCAGTGATGCCGCAAAAGTGTTGTATCTATCTTCTTTTATTGTGCAGTCGGCGGGACCGATTCAAAATTGAGTCGTTGCTACTAAAATAGCAGCATATGGCCTCAGATGATGAACAGGAAAAATAGTTGCGTAAATTTAGACATAAACCACCCCCAAACCATGAATATCTTTTGAAGGCACTATAGACGACCATTAACTAACTAGATGTGATGAAGATCAAATGTAAGGAATACGCTCATTTTACAAAATTACATGCAAGTACCAAAAAGTGATGTAAGTACTTATTCAACGGTCATTTTCAGCGCTCCCCGCTAACGTGACTTCAAGTTGAGATATTTGCGGCAAGGTACCGCATTGAGCAAAATGGTTTTAATTTACATTATAACTTGTTGTGTTTTGTCAGAAAATGATCCTAACTCAGATTTTGTGGAAAAAGGTCATTATCTCCCTTTAAGAGCGACTGCTTCTGGAATAAGATTGAGTGGTGGGTGTGCGACCCTTGATTCAGGGTTTAATGTGGCTGAAATTATTATAGGATTTTGTTAGGACATGATCCAGTGTAGGTGGTAAGGAATTACATAGATTACGTAAGAAATTACATTTCGATTCACTGGCTCATCTATACACGACTTATATGTTGTACTCTCTGACCTGCCTCGGGATCCGCCATGCCGTCTTCTCATGTTCTTTTTCCGGTAAAGTATCAGGAACTGCTAGCCCTGAGCTGCTGAGCTGCATAATCTCAGTCACCGAGGAGGCGGCAGCGCGAGTTCCCCTGCCCCCTCTCGGTCCAGCCGTCGAGCGCGTCGGACCACACTCACATCTACCGACGCCACCCTCCCATGGGCGAGCCTGTTTATGAGAGTGCGCGACGGCATCAGGCAGCCGCTTGGAGAAACAGTTTCTAGTAGCGGCCTCTGTTTAGAGAATCAACCGTCGAGGCCGACTTCAGGGCGGTGTTTCACGGGACGCTGCTACCACGCTGCTATCAAATTGCGCGAGCTGACGTCACACTTGTGGTAGTGTTGGAGCAATGGGCCTGTTGATGTTTCCATGGAAACCCAATTTGACACGTGTAAAAGTAGCGTGCTGCTAGCACCGGTGAAACAGAGCCCAGAGCCTCCAGCGGCAGCCGCTAACCAGAGTCCGCCTGGCTACCGCTGCTTGACCAGCAGCGTTACGTCAGTTCGGCTACGAGCGAGCGTACAGGTGCCGGTGAGACGCAGCATATATCGTGCAGCCCGCCGCGCAGAGCTCGCGTTTCACCTGGGGGTCCTGTAACATTGTAAGCTCACGGCTGCTACGGTCTACGGCGGATCCGACCAGCTCGAGCCGCTGTGAGCTGACGGCTGACGGTGTCCGCCGCTGCGGCGTTGCGGCTCAGGTGTCGATGTGACGTCACCCGTCCGTGTCGTTATGACGTCATTGACCCGTGTCCATGGCAGCCATTGACTCGGTGGTTGGCAGTTCCGCCACGCCGCGCACCAGCTCGGCTCTCAGCTCGCAGCTCTGTGCGAGCTGCGAGCTGAGAGCCGGCGCAGCTTGACCACCTGCCATTGGCAGCGAACGG